TGACTAAAGTCCCAAATGTTGACAATATCAAAAGTCAAAAAGGAAGTGACAACCAGAGAAATTCTCACTAACTATTGCTGGGAAGGCAAGATGCTATGGGCTGCTTTAGGAGGTAGTCTGGCTGCTTTTGAAAACAGCTAAATGTAGCCCTAACCTACAACCCAGCAACCATGTTCTTGGTATTTACCCAGATGAATTAAAAACTTCTGTCCACACTAAAACTTGCACATGAATGTTCCACAGCAACATTATTCCCACAACTTCTGAAAACATGAAAAGCAATCAACATGTCCTTTTAATTGGTGAGTAACCAAGCTGTTGCATTCACATAATGCTGTATTAACTTATTAATAAAGGGAAATCTTATCAAGCCACAAAATGTGAAAAGCCACTTTTACTGCTAACTGAAAGGAAGCCATTTGAAGAGGCTGCATGTTGTATGATCCTAACTATATGATATTCTGGAAAAGATAAAATAATTGACATAAGAAAAGCGGTGGGTAGGCTGTCACAGGGGAGAAGATATGGGTGGATAGGTAGAGAATGGGGAGTTTTTTAGGCCAATGAATCTGTCCTTTGTGATATTGTGAACATAAATACATGACATTATGCATTGTCAAGTTTTTGCACAACATAAAGGGCAAACCCACATATAAACTATGCCCTTTAGTTGATAATAACTTACCAGTATTGTGTCATCAATTGTAACAGCTATACATTACCATAGATTGCCAATAATAAGAAGACGTGGACGGGTGATGGGGAATTTTGTCCTCCATTTTTTAATAGATCCCAAACTGCTGTATGACTATCAAGTATATGAAAACATTTGAGCCAACAAACGTGGAGATGCCATTTACAAGTGGCAAAGGTCTAGTAGATAGACATATAAAATATTATATAGCCAATATAGAAATGGGTAGCACCACAGAAAAACCTTTAAGGGCTAAAGACCACGAGCCAGGCCTTTTTTAGAAAAGGACACAAATGGCCAATGAGCAGATGAGAGGAAGTTCAATCTCATTAACACAATCATCAAGTGCAAGTTAAAGACAATTAAAATGTCACTTAGCTGCAAAGTTGCTGTGGGATGTCTTTCTGTATGCTGTGAAAATGTGTGGCTCCCATTGGGTAATAAATAAAGCTACATTGTCCTATGGCAGGGGAGGCTGGACCCCAGGTGGGAAAATCCAAAAAGATAGAGAGAGAAGAAGGATGGGGTTGGGAGAGACGAGAGCACGCCTCCCAAGGAGCAACAAGATGCCAGCAGACCGGTAATGCCACGGCCCACGTGGCAACACATAGATTAATAGGAATGGGTTCATTTAAGATGCAAGAGCTAGCTAGCAAGAGGCTGAAGTCATAGGCCATACAGTTTGTAATTTAATATAAGGCTTTATGTAATTATTTTATAAGCAAGTGTGGGACTGCTAGTGGGAGAGATTTGTCATGACTGAGGAGCTGGGCAGGACACAGAGAAACTTCCTTCTACACAAAGTCAGCCCGTGAAGGCCTTCACAGGGTATAAACTGATCAAAACGGTGAGGAAATGAACCTTGTGAACAGTGCCAGGGGCAAAGCACATTGATAACAGGGTTGGGAGATTTTGCAATATCTGCTTAAGGTTCAGAGTCTTCAAATCTCATCACCCAGGGTGCCCATCCCTGGATAAATAGTCTGGAAACACTATCACATTTGTGACCAGAAATACACGTGAGCATGCACAGATGGGAGAGCAATGGGATAATAGACGCAAAACTCAAGAGAATGATGATTTCGGAGGGGGACGATGAATGGGATGAAATGAAATGGGAAGGGACACTGAGGTGACTTCTTATACTGTGCTGGATACATGAGAGGATCATTGTGTATTGTTCTTTTTAGAATAGATCTTAAAATAAATTATAATGAAAATATTTTTTAAAACACTCATGAATTACAGAATAAATCTTGAGTCCTGATTTCAGCTTTTATTAGCAGGCTGGCTTTAGATACCTTGTTTAATCTCTTTGGGTCTCAGTTTCCTCCTCTGTGAACCGAGGGAGATTATCTCAACATAGATGTAAGGAGAAAATAAGAAAAGCCAAAGCCACACTGCATTTCTAACATCTCTATCCTGTCAACACGCTGTTTCACAACTTAGAGATGCTGCCCTCTGAAGTATGTATTCGCTCTGCTGAATTCCAGCACTCAGAGACACCCTCTTATGGCAGTTTGTGTTAATATCCTTTCCACAGCAATTGATGGTAATCTAAAACCTGTGTTCCCCTCTCTCCAAAGTAGGGCATCTGTGAGAGTGAAGGCAGAGGAGCTGGTACTCACCGTGTAGATCTCAGGAGGAAGGGTAGGACCCTGAGGGAGAATGGAAAAAAAAAGATGTAAATGTTCCCCTTCAGGATGCCAAGTTTCATCCAGATGTACAGTGGGTAGAAGCCTACGCTGGGCTTTCACTGCCTACCAACTCTAGTAGATGCTTTTATTTGAAATGTTCTGTGATCATGACAAACTCTTCCTCTGAACCTTATGTTTGCATTTAAACCACAAATAGATTACCCTAGATACCAGTGTGCCACGTAACAGAGCTAGAGCCGATTGGCAAGCGAGACCTTTGCTTTGTATGCCATTTGGTTTTGTCTGGGGTTTCTAACCCTCTGCAATAGCAAATAGTTGGTTTGGTGTTTTTTCCTTGGGCCTTTGGATGAGGGATGATGTCTCTCACAAGAATCTGCTTTCTGTTAAACAGAGAGGGGAGATACCAGGATCTGCCAGCCAAGGAGCTCATGTTCTCATTAATACTTTCTTAATTAATTAATATCACTCATTAATACCACCATGCCCAGCTTTTGAAATTAATTACATAAGTAACTTAAAAAGCATCATTTACAGCACTCAGGAGGCAAAGACAGGTGGATCTCTGTGAGTTCAAGGCCAGCCTGATCTAAAGAGTGAGTTCCAGGACAGCTAGGGTTGCACAGAGAAACCCTGTCTCTAAAAACAAAACAAAACAAAATTTAAAAAAGCAATGTTTAACAGATGCCTTTTTGTTTTGTTTTGTTTTTTGTTTGTTTCTCGAGACAGCTGCCGCCCAGTTTAGCAGATGCCTCTTAGCTCAGAGACAAAGAACAGTGAGATTAATGTGGGTTTGGCTTCTGGGTTGCAGTCCCTGTCTTTCCCCCGATGAGCTGGGGATTCTTGCTTGTTACCAGTTTTCCCCATCTGTGAAATGGGGAGAAGGAGAACACCTGCCTCTCAGGTTCGTCTGTGAATCACCTCATCCATGAAGGCAAGTTCAAGAAGCTTAAAACAATTGAAATTGCAAAGCTCATCGTGCTCATTGCTTTCTTGACACACACAGAAAGCCTGGCCTAGCTAAAATGGAGAAAATTTCTTCTGGCTCATAGACTCAGAGGTTTTAGTATGTTGTGGTAGAGAGGACACAGCAGAGCAAGCCACACCATGGACTCCAAGAAGGGGGCCCAGAGAGCCTGAAGAGATGAAGGCTTTCTCCATTTCCTCCCTTTGGTGGGATGCTGGCACCTAACCTGTAGGATGGGGCAGCCACATTTAGGAAGGTGTTTCCCAGCTTAGTTCATTCTCTCTGGACTCCCTCCCAGACGTGCCCACAAGTGCGCTTTTTAAATCTACCTTGGCCTTCTCAAACCAATCAAGTGGCAATGGGCATTACCTAAGATAAGCCTACCTCTCGTCAATTTGATACTCACGTGTCTCCTCAAACTGTCCCTGCCCCTCAAAAGGCTTATTCCCATCTAATAGTGCAAATGCATTCCATTCATTACCAAGAACTCTCGAAGTCTTAACAGTCTCGACATTATTAAAAAAAACCCAAGCCCAAGTCTCTTCCTCCAGTCACTAGAAATACAGGTTTGTGCCACCACACCTGCCTGGATCCTTTTGGTGACTTATAATCTTGAGGTGCTGGGGGGTCAATCAGTAACACTACTTGGAGGAGGGAACATGGAATCCTAGGTTTAGGGAGTTGACAAGTGGTCATTGGAGCTACCACAAAGGCTGCTAATCCTGGAGCCTCCAACCACGGAAGCAGGGCTGCACTTCAGGTCTCCACACCTGATGGGTCTGGCCTAAAGTTTGCTGCAAAACATTCTGAAATTCAACATTCAACAATGTAATATTCTGAACACACTAAATTGAAAAGTCTCCCCTTTACTTAGTTCATAGACAGTAAACATGGCTACTGCATCCTGGTCTAACTTCTGTGCTGTGCCTTTCATTCAGTTTTGTGGCTGAGGAAAAACTAAACGATGTCTTTGTCAGGAAAAAGAACATATTTTCCAGAAGGGATCTTGAATACTTATTGTGAACTCTGGCAGAATGTTCTGAGGTAGTCCCAGGTCGACAGAAGGGAGAAACAGCAACTGTGGACAAGTCATTGGCCGGGCAGCTTCTCCAACACAAGTCACCTGTTGGATGGGGGTCTCACAAGTCCGGCTGCTTTTCCCTTGAGTCCACTGTGATGGGTAATCCTGTCAACCTGATGGGATTCAGAACCACTTGGAAGACAAATCTGTGCATAGGGCTGGGAGGATGCTTCCAGAGAGCTTCCCAGGGAAAGATCCACTCTGAATGTGGGCAGTGATGCTCCATGGGTTGCAGCCCTGGAATGAATAAAGAGGGAGCAAGCAGAACAAACACCACCATTCATCTCTCTGCTTTCTGACTTCAGATGCAGCGTGACCAGGCACCTCAAGCTCTTGTCACCATGCTTTCCCCATCACAGTGCACTGTACCTTCTAACTCGGAGCCAAAACAAACCCTTTCTCCTTCAAGTTGCTTTTTCCAACTATTTTGCCATAGCAACAAGAAAAAGTCAGCACTGGCTCTACCATCCAACTGGGTCCTGAATATCTTCACGTCAGTACTATCCTCGAGGTGCTTGGGTGGGAGAATCCCCTTGGGTCCGGGGCTCTCCAGATCTTCTGGGAGATATTTCCACTCTTCATGTGGGACCTGATGGTGCTTACCTTCACAGAGGTAAAACTTTGCTTCTTCCTTGCTTTCAAAATCGGGAAGGTCGTCAAACTGCGCTTCCTCGGCTTGTTTCCATCCATCGGAGTCCTGCAGGACAGAGAGCAAAAAATAAAGTTGACTCTGGGCATGGAGGCATATACCTATAATACCAGAACTAGAGATCTGAGGAAAGAACATCTCAAGTTCAAGGTTACCCTGAGCCGCATATGAAGACTCTGTCTCAAAGATGGTGGTGGTGATGATGGTAATGATGACGGTGGTGGAAGCAGTAATAATTCAACAGCAAGGTGGCAATAGGGATAAAATACAAATAAAGGCCTACACATTTGGGGATGAACTAAAGCAGAAGAGCTTAGAGAAAATCAGGGACCAGCCTACAGCAAGGATAAGCTCTGCTCCTCTTGTATTCCTTCTTGGGTTCAGGAAAGACAAGAGTGCGGAGGGAGAGGCAGGAGCCAAGAAGCAGGGTGGCAAAGTTAGCTGGCAACAGTTAGTTACAAGGGCCAGCCAGCCCAGAGTCCATTTCCCTAGCTAACTGCAAAGCCAACCTCATTCTCTTAGCACACCTTCCCCGCCCCCATGATATGGATACACCATACATAGAGTGGGTAGTTGAGTGATTTAATGTCTACAAAAAAGAAAGGGAGAGCTGGTGTCCTGTCACCATTTTTTTTTCCGCCTTCCTCATTCAAAGCACAACTCAATGAATAATTTACTTGCACAAGATGAGAAAAAACTTATGGATTCTAGACAGAGCTGTGGTATATAAATGGAAGGCAAGTCTTGGGGAACTCTCAGGACATTTTTAGTTCTTGTTAGTCGTGGAGTACTGTTGAAATCCTGCTGTGTCTCATGGAGTCCCTTTACAGTCTCCAGCTCTGGCAAGAGCAAAGGGAACTTGAAAAAAAATACAAGAAACCGGACCAGAATGGAGATTAGTGTAAAGTCATTATAGTTAGGTTTGCAAGCATTATAGCCAGTCAGTCATGGCAGCACCGTGGTTTTTCATTTATTCACAGAACTGAAGACAAGGCAGGTACACATTCACTGAGGAATTAAAATTTTTAAAACAAGATTTTACCTTTCCATATCCAATTAGAATTTAAAAACATGACGTATATGCTTTATGGAATATGATACAGTTAGTTTTAAAATGCGGTAGGGCCTACAATACCCACGGCAAATTGAGTAAAACCAGTAGAACAGTATGTAATAGGATTGAATACTTATCTAATAAAAGGCTTGATGCTAACATCTCCACACAGACATCTGAAAGAATCTAGAAGGAGAGAACTGTTAAAAACTAAAACACGCCGGGCGGTGGTGGCGCACGCCTTTAATCCCAGCACTCGGGAGGCAGAGCCAGGCGGATCTCTGTGAGTTTGAGGCCAGCCTGGTCTACAGCGCGAGATCCAGGAAAGGCGCAAAGCTACACAGAGAAACCCTGTCTCGAAAAACCAAAAAAAAAAAAAAAAAAAAAAAACTAAAACACAACAAACAAAGATAAGAAACCTTCCTCCAAGGAGTAAAGTTGGAGAATTGAGTGAGCAGAGAGGACAGAGTGAAGAGCAGGTGGGCAAAGGCACACACAGAGAACAAAGTATGAAGGATCATTCTCTGGCTTTTCCAGGAATTGCAAGTAGCCCTGAGACATTCTGAAGGGCTATATAGGTGAAGGGTCACATAGCCCAGGTTAGCCTTGTGGCCTGTGTTATCTCTCTACACCTGGGCTGACACAATAGCTCTGTGTTTTAGGATCATCTCATGGCAAGGCCATGGGGCACAGCTTGGAGGGACTTGGTTAGGAAGCCATTCTGTGAACCTATTGATGCATAGTGAGGGTCTCAGCCAAGGCAGGGACGGAGGGGACATTTGGATTAGGAACTAAACTGAGAGATGAAATAGGCAGAATTTTGGCCTTCAACTGGATACAGCATTGGTCAGCTCCTGACTCTGGGGAGAAATGAAGACAATTTCTCCTGTCAAGGTCCTGTACCACATCTTTCTTTGTCTACTTCACAAGAAAGGTGGGTGATGTAAAGTACATCCTTCATATAGTTGGGGTTCTTTCCTCTGTTCTTCCCTTCCTGAAAGCTGAAGGTAAAAAGCCAGACCAAGGCCTATAGATGATGCTGAGGGACCTTGGAGCCTCATCTCCATGTTGCCAAGAGGCCAATGAGCCATTTGGTCTTCTCTGTAATCCATTCCCTCATCTGTAAAATGTTAAGACCAGAACAAATGAACTCTAAAGACCCTTCTAGTGATTTTAATTCTAATCCTACAATACACTGTCAGGCTGAACACACACACACACACACACACACACACACACACACACACAGAGACAGAGACAGAGACAGAGACAGAGACAGAGGGAACTGTAAATTATTTCTTTCTTTCCCTGTGATGATCCAGTGATTACCCAAGATTCTATTCTGTGTATTCTGTGTTTTCATTTATGCACTATCTGGCTTCTAATTGTAACACTTAAGTGGGACTCAAAACTTTGCAAATGCTTTTTAATCTTCAGAATATGATATGAGGACTTGGAGTGTAGCTCAGTGGTAGAGCACATCATAAGGTCCTGGGGTCCATTGAAGCACAGTGCACAAAAATTGCAATGAGCTGAATAGAAAACAAATTAAAATTACTTAATATTTCCTTTGCATCTTATTACAGGAATGATTGAAGATAATAAACTTAGCCCAGAGCAGGAGTGATGACCATTTGAAAAGTTAATCTAAAATGTCAACGATGATCTTACATACAGATCAGAATTTCCTCCTCTCCTCACACCAGTCTCTTGCCTCCTGGATTTAGCAGCACTTTTCTGTGTGAACTCCCTTTGTCAACAACGTTAGTGTCACTTGTCTTGGCAAGGTGTTGAAATTTTTGTCTCATCTTGATCCTGAGTCTCGTGGGGCCATGGGTGGTGAGCTGGTATTTATTTTTTTTCAGTTCCTCATAAGCTTGAGCATGGTGATATGTCTCTATTGAAAACTCTTTGTACAAATTTGCTGAAAGAAGAGAAAGCTAAGAGAGTTTAGATTAATTCACCAAAGAACTTAGAGCATCCGCCAAGTGCTAACAACTGTGCTAAGTTTGAAGGATGAAAGATAAGGAAAATGGATTTCTTGTTCTCAGGAAGTTTGGAATCTGGAAACCATGGAGGTGTCCGCATTACTAAAATCCTATTGTGTGGAATTTTAAACATATGCATCTCTGTATAAAGGATACTAATGTCCAAAGGGAAAATATATCTCTTGAGGTTACCTATTGTGATTTCATGATTTCTACTGCAGTTGACAGTCGCTTGACCTTTGTGACCTTGGGGTTGTCTTTGGGGCAGATATGGTGGTAGAATAGGAGTAGAGTGACTCTCCTTGCATTTTTTCAAAAAGGGACATGATTATTTAATTACTTAAGTGACACCCCTGACAAAACAAATCCAACTCAGCCCTTCTACCTGAGTCACTGGACCCTCCCTCATGGTCCAGTGACTTAATTGTAAGAGCTGGAGGTTTGGGGAAACCTTTAGTCTCCCTGATAATCACCTGTCAGAGCTGGAGTGTTCCTGAGACAGTGAACGTTTTTCCCAACAGCCCACTTCATACTGAGCAGTTAATTTACATAGGGTAGGTTCTTGTTAAATATTTGTGAGGAGGGTAATTGATATTACACAAGATATTCTCCCCACCTCTCTTTGCTATCCTCAAAAAAGCACAAAGACCAAATCTATCCTCCTTTCTGTCCAAGAATTCTTGAGTGTTCAGAACATAAAAAACTTGTTTTTCTACCCTGTGTGTACCCCATCCCAGGTAGCCTGTGGGGTTTTGTTCAAACTTCTTCCATGATAGAGCATCCCACAGGCATGGCAGGTTAAGATTGCACTGTGGTTATTTTATTCTATTTTCTCCTTTTTCAGTGATCTCTTCTAAAGTGGCTACCGTTTCCAGGAGTCTTGTGTTCTTATCATCGCTAGCTCAGACACTGTGCCTGTTGCAGCCCTTGATGGTTCTGGTGACTTGAGTACAGTCTACACTAGCCTTTCCCCCTTTTTAGCTGGTCACACCAAACTTACATGGGGGCTAGAGTCAGCTAAAACCACACTTCGCTGCCCCGGATCCTCCACATTTGAGAAGCATGCATTTTAGCTTGGGTGTAGACAATATGGAGTTGGAGAGGGTAAAGTCAGAGGAATGGTTGGCCAGACAGACCTTTAGGTTCCCATCTTCTTCTGGATAAAGACTGAAATAGAGAAGGATTAAGTCCCAGGACTAGTAAGGCATGGCCCAGAATCTCACTCTGTAGCCCAGGCTGACCTGACGCTTGCTGTATTACCCAGGCTGGCCTCAAACTCACCACCCACTCCCCCTGCTTCTCTGCCTCTGGATGCTGAGATTAGAGGCATGGGCCATGTTTGAAGATTCCTTAGAATTCCAACCACCCCCATCTCACCTCTCAAGCAAGACAAAGGACATTCTCAAGAGATGTTTCTATCCAAACTTAAGATTGTGGAAGCTGACGATTTTTAAAACTTATCTGAAAGGACGAAGTTTCCTAAGCCCCAAGTGGCCTGGACATTTCAGATACTAAATGCTCAGAGTTGTGTGCCCACTACCTCTCAAAACAAACCCTATTGCCAATATTGGGGATTTTCCTGCAGTGCAAGCAAGTACCACCACTGAGGAAAGTTGATCTGGGCATGTGGTCCCTACACTCCTGTGTCAAAGGGCTGAGCTGTGCGTGTTTCTCTCTGTGTGTTTGTGTGGTGTGTGTATGTGACAACGACATCCTCGCGCAGTGATAATGATAACGTGGAAAAGAATGGTTTCAGGCCCCAAGCGGCTGGAGTCAGGCCCCGCCTCCCTGCCGGCGCTCCGCGGGCGTCCCTAACACAAAGTTCCATTAGGAGGAGGGTCAGGACGCTCACCAGCGTGCAGCTGGCCAGGCCTGAAGCTCCTCTGCTTAGCGCACCCGGCCCATCCCTCTCTCTTACTTCCTTCTCCCTTTCCACTTGCCCCATGAGGACCCGGCCCTAGCTGGCTCAGGGTTCGCGCCCATCGCAAGCCTCTTCTCCCCGGCGCTTACTCTGTCCCGGTGAGGGCAGGAAGTGGGAAGAGCTGCATCGGGCTGTCACAGACAGGGACCCCTGCAGAGGCTTAGGGTGAGCCAGCAGCCCGAGGAGGGCCACACCCTCCTTCCGTTGCTGTAGAAACGGCTCAGGCCCTTTTTGTGACTCTGAGCTGAACAGGCTTACCCCAGTCGAGGCCCAAACTATCTTTCACATAAGCCAAAAGAATACATCTCCCCCTCACCTCCTGGTTTTCTGTCTTCCCAATTCATGGATCAGCCAAGATATGAAAGAAATTCCAGGACCCCGAGATTAAAGTTGGTTGGACAGACCAGATTGGAAAATTCCCAGGTCCCTTCAGAAACAGTATGTAGAAGTAGATTAAAGCCCTGAACAGAATTTCCTCATGAGATGTTCATGAGTGTTTAGTCTGTTCCAAGTTTCAGAAAGCACCATATGGAATTATGACAGTGGCTTGTCCTGAAGGCCTCTGATGCAAGGAGGGGACTCACTGAAAAGAAGCAGAGTTGAGTTTTGAGTGTTCAGTACTTTGCCATGTAACAAGCCAGTACTCGCAGCAGCTTGTGGAGGACAGAGACTGCGGTGTGTTTGTGTGGACTGTAAGCAGGACTGGTTCATGCTGACTTAATTTTTCTTTTCTTTTCTTTGTTTCTTTCTTCTTTCTTTCTTTTTTTTTCTTAATTGAGACAGTTTCACTATGTAGCCCTGATTGGCCCAGCACTCACTATGTAGACCAGGCTGGCCTTGAACTGGAAGGGATGCACCCACCTCTGCTGGGATTAAAGGTATGTGCCACCACATCCACTGTTCATGCTGATTTTATTTTGGAAATGCTGTGTCAGTAACAGTATGGATAAGCAAAGGAGTGAAAAGTAGAGGCGAGGGCACAGGTCAGTGATGTGTGAGAGGAAAGAACAGGGCAGATGAAGAGTAGCTTTGAGAAACCCGGTTGGTGGAACAGTGGTGGCTGGCTGTGAAGGTGAGCGAATGTACTATAAATCCTAGAATTGCACTTGGGCACTTGTGCTGATGGTGGTGCCGGTAACTAACAGAAAGCTATGCCCATTACTATTCTTTCACAACAGCAAGGAAATAAACTCAGCTAGTAGTATACAGCATAGTGGCATACAGGCACTGGAATTTTATTCAGCTAAAGAAAAATGAAATTGTGAAATCTGCAGGAAAATGGATGGAACTAGAAAGCTACTTTAAATAACGGAGCTCAAATAGCGTGTTTTCTTATGGGGATCCTAGCTTCTGTTATAGTGAATATGTGTATCCAGTAGGGGGAGAAAACATGGGTGAAGACCAGGAAATAGAGGTCCATGAGACTGAAAACAAGGAGAACAGAGTGCAGCCTGGGAGAAGAGGGAGATATGTGTGTGTAGGGGAGCAGGAGGAGGATCACCTGAAAGGAAATATGAATGAAACCCACATATGGAAACCTATCACTCTGTAAGCTTATTTTAAAAGTAAAATAAAAATAAATGGGAGAAAAGGAAGGAGGGCAGGCAGGCAGGCAGGCTGGCTACTGAACCTGGAAAGATTTAAGAGATAAGTTCTCAACCTATGGGTCGTGACCCCTTGAAGCTGTCCAACAGAGGTTGCCCAAGACCATCAGAAAATAGATATTTAATTATGATTCCTAACAGTAGCAAAACTAGTTATGAAGTAGCAATGAAAATCATTTTATGGTTGGTGTCACACGAGGAACTATATTAAAGGGTCACAGTATTAGGAAGGTTGAGAATCACTGCTCAAGAGACTGCTGATTTACATCAGCTATCAATGGCCTAGGCAATAGGTTATGTTGCAAGATGTAGTTAGTCTAATCACAGACATGATTCCGTGGCAAGTGGGGGTAGGTAACACAAGACCAGAAAGCTGTAGTGGGCAGGGAGGTGCCGCATGAGCCAAAGGAGTTGTTTTCAGGGCATGATTGGAGTAGGTAAGATTGGGTGAGGAAAAGGTAAGATGAGGCTGGCAACTGATGGTTATTAATGCTTGTAGCTAGGTGAGTTTTAACACGTTGAGGGGGACTCTTATTTAATGTGAGTCTGGGTGCATATATGTATGCATATGCACCACTGGAATGCAGGTGCCCATGGAGTCCAGAAGTGGGTGTTAGATCTGCTGGACATGGAGTTCCAGGTAGTTTTAAGTCACTAGATGTGGGTGCTGGAAATCAAATCTGGAGTCCTCTGCAAGAGCAAGTACTCTTAAGCACTGAGCCATCTCTCCAGCCTCTGAGGGAACTTTAAACACAAAGAAATAATATGAATCACAAGAAAAACCAAGTCCCTCAAGTGAGGGCCAGTGAGTAGTTATCAATTAACAGTGGTTATTGCTCAAAGCATAGAGATTAACTCAGTACCAGGTAACTAGGTGGGTGTGGAGGCACCCACCACTACGGAGGCTGTGGCAGCATGACCTTGACTTCAAGAACATCCTGGGCTACACAGGAAGCCCTGTCTCAAATCCCACAGAACATAACTGAAGCCTGGGGTTTTAAGGGGACGGTGGAGCAGGTAAGGTGGTGAATGGTAGTGTATGTGTATACACGAGTTAAGACGAAAATGGACAAAATAGGCAAAAGCTCACTTTAATCATAATTCAAAGCTGCTTCTTCTCATGGTAACACAGAAGTCTCACAGCTGAGAACTAAGCAAGGCATTGCACATTTTATGGTAAACATTAAATTTTTTACTAAAAAGTGATCAGGAACAAGTTGATAGTCTCACCATAAAAATAATTACTTTTACCGAAAATGAATCCAACTTCCTGAAAAACTGTGTTAGCTAATACAGGGGTGACAAGTTGACAGCCAGTCTTCCAAGCTCTGGCTTAATCTGAAGTGATGAAGACACTCCTTCCCCTTGCTTATGGTGACCACAGAAGACTCATTTACCAAAATGTAGACTGGTGGATACATGGTATCAAAGAACACATTTTTAAACATTTTCACTTTATTAAAGTTTTGACAATGAAGAGTTCATAAAGTATTATTAAATTCTATCTGCTGTACAATAACTGTATGTTCTCACGTAGGGAACACATGCTGCAGTTATCATTTTAATATGTACAAAAGCAGAATCCTTACTAAGGACAACCTGGATAAATAGCAAGCTAATAACAAACCTAAAGAAACACAGTAGCAGGAAAGATTTCAGAAACGCCTCCTGAAGGAACCAGATCTCCCCTTGCCAGACACTCTGAAGAGCTGGGAGACATATCATGTGACTACAGATGTGTCAGAGCCAAGTGACAGTGACTTATGAACCATAAGAAAACACAACACATTCTTCAGGAGTGACATGAGGAGAGCCTCCAAGAACCCTCTGCTGAAAGACAGAAAAGCTTTAATGAGACCAGAATCACAAAACAGAGATCCTTCATGTGACTCATTAAAGGTTTCCTCCACGTGCAAGTTGAACACAACAACAGCTTGCAGGACTGAGGGTCCCACAGGTCCTTTCCTGCTACCGTACTTGGCTACTTGTGGCATTTGGGTGCAAACGCTTAACTGGTGCTAGCCGGGAGAGGCCCAGGCGCAGGCTCTGACTTGGGGACTTGGTGGGTGCTCCTGCCAGAGGGCTGCTGCTGGAGCTTCTGCTTCCGGAGGCAGCTGCAAGAAAACACAGAGGCAAACAAGCAGTTAGGTATATTGTTCTGTTCTGCAGAGCCTGTCAAGCGCAGCCCCAGATCAAAAGAATGACCCACACTGGAGCTCAGGAACCCCAACTCCAAAACCTTCAGTCTTCAATTTTTCTGGCTGTGCAGCAAAACAAACATATAAAAACAAGGACAAGTTTGCCATGGCATTTGTATTTGTTGCATGTTACAATGCTCAAATGCTGTGGGATGTTCTGTATGGCAAATGTGTTGCTAATTAGTCAATAAATAAAACACTGATTGGCCATTGGCTAGGCAGGAAGTGTAGGCGGGACAAGGAGGAGAATAAAGCTGGGAAGTGGAAGGCTGAGTCAGAGAGACACTGCCAGCCGCCATGATGAGAAACAGCATGTGAAGATGCCGGTAAGCCACGAGCCACGTGGCAAGGTATAGATGAATGGAAATGGATTAATTTAAGCTGTAAGAACAGTTAGCAAGAAGCCTGCCACGGCCATACAGTTTGTAACCAACATAAGTCTCTGTGTTTACTTGGTCGGGTCTGAGTGGCTGTGGGACTGGCAGGTGAGAGAGATTTATCCTGACTGTGGGCCAGGCAGGAAAACTTAACCTACACTCAAATGCCCCAAGCCTGAGGACTTGGTGAAACTGTGGAGGTCAGCAGATCTTGAGGCAAAACTTTGTTGCCAGGAGAAAAAAAAACTTCACTAATGCCCCTTGACTCTGCGATAGTCAGGGATGTGTCTGCAGACTTTTGAAATAAGAGTGTCTCTGTTTACTGCTGTTTTGTTTATAGTAATGAAAACAAATCACACTCAACCTTGATGCCTAATAAAGAAATAGGAAGATGGTAAACCGAAAACACTGGTGTGGAAGAACATGAAGTAACATGGGAACCGCTCACAGATAACTCCTGTGACTGACTAGGAGAGAGCTACCACTGGCAGCTTTCTAAGCTGGTGCGCTTGATAGCAAGTTACCATACCTGGCGGGACCCACTTGGGTCTCTTGCCTTCAGCTGAAGGGCTGCACATTTTTGCTGATTTCCTGCTGGCCTCAGAAGAAAGACCATCTGCCTCGGGTAAGGATGGAGAGTCTGACTTGACGGCAGCTGGAGCCATATCTACTGAAGTCACTGAAAAACATAAAAGAAACAATTGTCATACAGGAAGATAATGTTCAAGTCTAACATATATGTCTAAAAATGATGAAGTCTCATATCTTCCAAAAATTCAAAAGGCACAGATTACCAATTTGAAAACAAGGATCACTTACTGTCCAGGTGAGTAGTACCTGCCTGAAATCCCAGTACTCCAGAGGCTAAGACAGCAGGATTTCAACTCAAAGCCAGCACGGGCTACAAAGTAGGATGGTCTCAGACCAAACACCACTTACAACAAGCCTAAGACCACGACTTTGGATGAGCATTTCTGCGCCAGGCTGTGTGTCAGTATGAACTTTCGCCCTTTATGACAACTCCCACCTCAGGATCACTGACCCACTATCAGATAAGCGAACAGAGAGGTTAAGCAATTTGCCTGTAGTTTGATAGCTGTTGTTAGAGCCTATATTAGAAACCAGGTTTGACTTCAAAGGTCATACTTGTAACCATTTTACAAATAATGCCTCTTCTACATGTGCTGGAGACAGGGTTGAGAACCCTAGGGTTACAAAGAACACACGACGTGGCCAGTTCGTTCTCAGGAACTTACTGTCCTGCACTGCACACCAGAAGGAGGACAGCAAAGGAAGATCGGTGTCTACTGCAATGTGCTGACAGTCCAGCAATGCTCGGGAGGGAGGGAGGGAGCTTGGAACCTCGTGTGCTTAGGAAGTGTAGCGGAGATGATCACGGGCTGAGCTGAATCATGGCTGAATTCCAGTACTGGGGAGTCACAAGCCTTTAATCCCAGCACTTGAGATCCCATGCCTTTGTTATCAGTATTTGGAAAGCCACACGCCATTAATCCCAGCACTAAATAGGAAGTGAAATGGCTGGGTGGAGAAAGGCATATAAGGCGTGAGGAGACAGGAACCAGGAGCTTTCAGCTGAGGACTCAGAGGCTTGCAGTCTGAGGATTCATAGAGATAGGATCTCGCATTTGGCCTGAGGATTCCATAGTGATGAGAAGTTTCTCTAGTGGCCTCTTCCTTTGTCTCTGTGATCTTTCAGCATTTACCCTAGTATCTGGCTCTGGGTTTTTTATTTTAAGACCATTTAAGATTCGTGCAACAGGTCATGGTGATAAGACACCTGCCAGAAGACTGAAATATGAAGAGTAAGAATAAAAGTAGCATTTTGTAATAATCTATTAGGTAATACAGGCTCAAAAATAATCTAACTTTTGAACATAAGAAACAGGTGTTCCATGTCCAAGTTATCACAAATTTTCATTGTAAAAATCACACTAAGATGTTAAAATGGGTCCTTAAAACAGAGATCATGTCATGCAGGAAAGCAGAGACTTAAGCTCATACAGTCCTCACTGTTTAAACATCCAGACAGCATGGTCCAGCCTCTAAATGAGCAAACCTGGGATGGAGCTCCTGACCGTCACCCCTGTGTACAAACCCCAACATATGCTGAGGTGTTCTGAATGTCAGTGCTCTGATGGTAAGGTGTGGGTGCAGGGCATTTGCAGGGATGGCTGTGTGCTGAGGGCTGGAGGGTCCGTACTCAGTGCTCCTGGCTGCTAGGGTTCTCAGCTTTTCTGCCCACTCACAATTCCTTCTAACCAGAGACGAGCATCAGAAGAATACTGCACGGACGAAGGAAGATCCGGAAACAAGGAACAGGACTCTAGAAAGGAGGAGTTTGGGAGCAGGCTTACCTGACGCCTCACACTTGTGTTTCGATTTCTTTTCTTTGCCCACTGCGGGTTTTCTCTGCACCGCTTTCTTCTTCGTTTCTTTAACTTTACGTTTTCTCACTGCAAATTCTTCATCACTTTCTTCACTCTCATCAAAATTAGAATCATTTTCTGAATCTTCATCTAGAACAGAAAATTACATATTCTGTCTTTGCTCTAAAAACTGAGACTTCTGTTGCCTTATCTGCAATAGCCTCATGGTCACTCAACACACTAAGGATGCTCTTGCCTCTGTGAAAGCATGGTTTCTAACCTCAAATGTCAGCCTCTCCTGACCCGAAATAACACGTCCCATTTCACTCCCACTAGCCTTTTATAACCTCCACATTCCTTCTTCTTCGTGGTGCTTTATTTTCTACAGTCCCAGGGCTCAAACCCTGGAATCCACACTTGCCAGACAAGTGCCCTAGCACTGAGCTGCCTGAGCCCTTCGGCTTGCATACCATAACTCTCAAAACATTATGTATGTGTTTACTGTCTGTGACCCCTCACTAGAATTTGAACCGTTTTGCTCATTACGATCTCCCTAGTATCTAGAATATAGTAAACATCATAGGCATCAAGTATTTGTTCAGTGAGTGTTGATGAACAGGGTTATATAGTGACAGAAGGTTAAAATCTAAAATGTTGTATCTGATTGGTATTAATGTACAGACGTATTCTTTTAAATTTTTAACACATTACAGTGTTATCAAAGTCACCATATTTTCCCTTTGCCTTCATTTCTACTAAGTCTGAAAACAACTGATAATAACACTGTTTCACACCACTTTCAACTCAAAATACTTCCTAAGTTTCTGCTAGTTATAGCAAAAGCTGAAACCTGTTAGAACAGGTTAAGCGTTGCTCCACAGCTAGTGGCAGCCTGCCTGCCTCTTCAGCCTCTTCAGCCTCTTCCCCGGGAGTCCCACTGACTGCTCGTCTGTCTCACGGCTCAAGCCCTTCCCTCGGTCAGAAGTGGGACCTCACCCTTGCTGCCTGTTTGTCCAGCCACGGCTTAAAGGCTACCCCTAGACAGTTTCTCCCTCTGTGGCCGAGCTCAATGAACTACTCTAGGAGTTTACGACTTCAAAGGCTCAACCCAGTGCTTTGCATACGTCCTGCTCTCCAAGGAGTTGTTTTTACTGCACTCCAGAGGACTGACTGACTTGAAGCAGGGTAACTCACCAGCTGCACTGTCCGGCTCAGCGTCATCAGCACCGCTGCTGCTGTCACTGCCTTCCGAGATCGCCCTCCTCTGCCGTGGCCGCTGAGCCGTGGCTTTAGATGATGCTTTTTCCTCTCCTTCAACAATGCTGGTGTCCCCCTCCTCTACGACCTTGTCTAAATCTTCTGGAGACAGGAACATCAGTGAGAACTCTGGGCAGACCCTATGACCTCTGCTCCAATAACACTACACAGGCCACGCTGGGATGAAGTCCATCAGTCTCCCAGCAATAGCCTCTGCTTTTAAGGGTTATTCTGAGACCCTAAAGAATCATTGCCAAAGAACTCTCCAGATGGCACTGGGAAAATGCAGCCCTTGAGTGGTCACCCATTGTGGAATGGAGGGCCTGAGTAGTCACAACTGTCCAGTAGGGAAGAAAGGAGGTCTGCAGTCAGAACAAGACTAAAGCATAAAGAAACAAAGACCAGGAGATAGAAAGCCTTGAGACATGGGAAGACTTTGTTCTAGCTATGGGCACAGGAACTTAAAACAAGTTAGAACACAGTACTGTGAATGACAAGAACTGTTATTAACGTCAAAACGTACCTGAATTATCACTGGTTCCACTGCAGTTAGAGACAGGAGGAGACTCCTCTGTTATCTCTGCTTTCCTATTGCTGTGTTCGTCAGTGCCTAGCATAGGAGGTAAGCAAAGAGCTTCAGATGCATCCTAACCAGTGTCTAAAAGGCAGGAACATGACCAATGGACCATATGAACACACAACCAGGATGAACCACCCTGGATCCCACCAGCCCAGTGGTTTAACTTGGAGGAGCCAGCATATGGCACCAGTCTGGGCTCTACAATAAGACTGGGGTTCATCATCGGACTCCATATGTAAACTTTCCTATCTCCTCTAGATTTAATTTCCCTGTCTGGAATATAAAGATAATCATGTCTTATGTGATTATTGTGGAAGATTAAATTCAAGTGGAAACTGCTTATTATATGACCAAATACAGTCATAAATATCACTTCCGTGCGGACAAATCCATGCTCATGCTACCTTAAGCTCTGTGGTGGCTTGAGAACTGCCCCATAAGCTCACATATTTGAACTCTTGAACCCCACTGGCAGCACTGTTTGGGATGTGGAGCCTTGCTGAAGGAAGGAAGTCACTGGAGGCCTCGAGAGTTTATAGGCTCAGTCCCCTTCCAGGTCACTCTCTCAGCGCCCTGGGTGTGAACAGAAATGTGATAAGCCAGCTTTCTGCTCCCACATTGCTGCCATGCTCCCCCTGCCTGCCATTGTAGACTCTTAACTCTCTGGAACCCCAAGCCAAAATAAACAGCTCTTGGTCATGGTATTTTAATCACAGCAACAGAAAAGCAACTGATACAAACTCTTTCCAATCATTACAACCTACAAGTGATAAAGTGCTAGAATGTTTGCACAGTATGTGTGATGCCCTGGATTTCAGCCTTAGCACCATAAAACAAAACACAACCAACCTCAAGAATTTAGGAGACCTTTAAATAATGATATTGATAACATTAAGTCCCCATGCTGTGAAGAGCATTACTCAGTGAGGAGTGCTACTTCCAAGAAAAATGCCTGTATACATTCCAGTCTTGTGAGATGAGGTCTAATCTTCTAATTTGAGATATAGGACATGACAACACTCTTGACATTTCTGATTCCTGACTAATAGTCTTCCAATTAAAAACAGTTGATTATTAAACAGACAGCATTAACGTAAAAGCCTCATCTGTATTATCATATGCAAAAAAATTCAGAAGTGAAAAATCACAGAGAAATCTAGAAGTCATACTCTGAAGTCTACTGAACTTTCTATGAAGGTTGGTGCCTCCAATCTTAGTAGATAACACAAAGTATCACCATTAGGTCATGTTCAAGAAACTCTGATTTAAAAGATAAGGAACTGGACTGTTAGGACTGTCTAGCTCATTTGATCAAGATTGGACTCCTGATCAACTTTTTATTATATCAGTGTCCCACATGTACATCTCTTTGCTTGACATATAAAGGAGCCTGGGACTTACACTGTGAGGTGGGCTGCTTGATCTAATAAAACGTTGAATCCACCGGGCAGTGGTGGCGCACGCCTTTAATCCCAGCACTCGGGAGGCAGAGGCAGGAGGATCTCTGTGAGTTAGAGGCCAGCCTGGGCTACAAAGTGAGTTCCAGGAAAGGCGCAAAACTACAGAGAAACCCTGTCTTGAAAAACCAAAAAAAAAAAAAAAAAAAAAAAAAGTTGAATCCACAGAGGCCCTCGCCAAGTGCTCTTTTTATAGATCAAATCGTGTTCTTTCCTCTGTGAAGGCTTACCCTAAAAAGTATTTACAAAAACTGTAAGACACTTTTAAAGATAAACACACAGAAACAGAATTACTTTTCTCTTGAGACTTCTGCACCTGGTTGGTGACTGTTGGAAGTTCCTTCACAGATAAAGCCAGGGCAACTTCTAGGCCTCGCTGGAAGACCTTGTCATCCAAAGCCACCCTAAAACAGACATGTGAACAACAATGGGGTTTAATTTCGATTAGAGCACTAATACCACTAAATCTAAAAAGCAAGTTTCAGATTTTCCCATATTAGTACTGAAGAGCAGCTACCTTCCAAAAATGTTCCTAAAGTGTCCTTGACTGACTTGAGACTCCGAAAATGTAGCAAGGTCCTGCTATCCAGAGTACGAGTGTGGCAGGAGTAGCCTGCACCTCTGCTGACTACCGTTCTTGTAACTGTCCTTTCTCTTTACTATCAGTTCTGCCTACAAAGCTCTGGTTTACCCTAAGATAGACTCAGTTCACACGTCACTCCCACCCAGAGATCTCTTCATCTCATCCACTGCTGTCTACCTCTGTTCTCCCAATTTAGATTTTAACAAATACTTCACTACATACTATGCAAAGATACTATTCTGGGTGGAATACTAAAAGTACCCCCAAGGAATCTTCAAGGTGAATTAGGAAGGTGGAGAAATAAGCCATACCAATTTAGCCCAAAAAAGGCAGACTGTAAAGCCTTCCTGCTCAAGTTGACCTATAGTTCTCATGATTGTAACAGAAAAACACAAAGACAGATGAGGAAAAACTTGAAGAACTTACTTTTTAAGTAAGTTATACTGGTGGGGATGATTTTGGTCATAATAATTCTATGCATGGATGAAACTGTCAAAAAAAGTTTTATTGAGATATATTTCATGTATTATAAAATAGTTTTCTGCTTCCTCCTCTTCTTGAGATAGCGCATCATGTATCCTAAGTTGCCCTCAAAACTTAGCAAAGTATAACCTTGAATTTCTGGTCTTCCTCCTGAATAAAATGCAGGAATTATTGCACAGAAGGCAAGAACTCTACCACTGAAGCTACATCCACTGCCCCATAAAATGCACCCTTTTAGAGTAGATAATTCAGCAGCTTTTAGTATCTTCAGAGTTTTGAACACATCATCACCGTCTAATTTTACAACACTTCATTATCCATACCCACCAGCAGCCATTCCTAATTAAGCCATGCTCGCTGGTTTTATGTCAGCTTGGCACACTCTAGAGTCATTTTGGAAGAGGGACCCTCAATTGAGAAAATGCCCCCATAGACTGGCCTGAGAGTGAACCGGTGGTGCATTCTCTTGGTGTGGGAGGGCCCAGCTCACTGTGGGTGGTGTCATATCTGGGCTGGTGATCTTGGGTACTACAAGAAGGCAGGCTGAGTAAGTCAAGAAGAGCAAGCCAATAAGCAGAACTCCTCCATGGCCCCTGTATGGGCTCCAGCCTCCAGGTTGCTGTCCTGACCTCTCTCAGTGATGGACCAGGCTATGCAACTGTAAGCTGAAACCGTTTCCTCCCCATCTTGCTTTTGGCTGTGGTGTTTTTTCCTGGCAGAAACCCTGCCTGGGACACTGTTACCCTTCTCTCAGTCCCAAACAACCAGTAATTCAGTTTCTGTGTGGATTAGTTTATTCTGTACACTTCATACAAATGGAATAATATTTAATATGTGGCTTTGTGCCTACTATAGAAAGCATGGCATTTTTTAGGCTCATTCACATTATAGCATGTATCTGTAGGTCATTTTTTGTGGCTGTGTCCATAACAGATAACTTATTTAACCAATCGCTGATGGACAGACAGTCGCTTTCCTATTTTTAATACAATGAACGTTGCTAAGAACATTGACACGAGTGGACATACTTTCAGTTTCCTTGGGTACTACCTAAGCCATGCATAGAACAGTCCTATGTTTAACAGAATGAAGACTGCTAATCTATTTTCTTGGGTACCTGCATCATCTTACAACCCCACCAGCAAGGTCTGAAGGTTCCGATTTTGCCACATCTTCATTAACAGTTATTAACATCTGCTGTGGGATGGTCTGTATGTCAAATGTGTTGCTGATTGGTCAATAAATAAATCACTGATTGGCCCGTGGCCAGGCAGGAAGTATAGGCGGGACAAGGAGGAGAATAGAGCTGGGAAGTGGAAGGCTGAGTCAGAGAGACACTGCCAGCCACCATGATGAGAAACAGCATGTAAAGATGCCGGTAAGCCATGAGCCATGTGGCAAGGTATAGATTAATGGAAATGGATTAATTTAAGCTGTAAGAACAGTTAGCAAGAAGCCTGCCACGGCCATACAGTTTGTAACCAATATAAGTCTCTGTGTTTACTTGGTCGGGTCTGAGTGGCTGTGAGACTGGCGGGGGACAGAGATTTGTCCTGACTGTGGGCCAGGCAGGAAAACTCTAGCTACAAACATCACCTAGTGGGTGAGAATTATCCACTTCTGTTTGCCTGACAGCTAATGATGCTGTGCATCTTTTCATGTGTTTCCTGATTACTTCTATACCTTTGGAGAAATGCTCATTCAGAGTTTATACATTGAAATTGTACTATCAGCCTTTTTACCGTAGAGCTTAAATACTTAATATACTTTGGATGCAAGTTACTTAAGTTGTATCTGCAAATATTGTCTCTCACTCATGGGCTGAGCTTGTCTTATATTTAACATTCCATCCATGACATTCACAGGTAGAAACAACAGTACAGAACATGACATTTCTCAGTGCTAATGAACTTTTCACAGAGGAACCCATGACAGTAAAACATTACCTATCCCACCTACCCATATCCTTTTTGTACTATAATTTTGGGGTCTCTTAGGACTGCTTTCTCTCTCTTGGTACCAAATGATGAGATGTGAGGGTTAGTCTAGATACTATAGGACCTCTTCTTTGTTGGACAAATCACAGTAGGATAGAGAAAATAACTTTTATCTATAAGGGAAAAATGGTTTAAAATGTTAACACTGCCCTTACCCCTCCTTTTAACAAAGTAGCTTTGTGAGATCTGAAGGGGCAGAAATAGGCGCAGGGTTAGTAACATTACTATTTAATGTTACACAAATGTTACTAATAAAGAGAAAGACTCTAATGTTTGCAACTTTATTTTTCAAGTCAGAAAGCACTTAATGGCACCTCCCTGTGCAGCGATCAACACTCACCACCTGCTCAAATCCCCATTTAAACCGAGGTGTTGAATGAGCAAGTCTGACAGCAGCATGTGTTTTCTGGGTCTTACCTCTCACCTTTTTTTAGGGGCTTTCTCTGGCAGGATGTCTTCTTTCTGGAGATTCTTCAAGCTAGGTTTTGGTTTGTCCTGCTTTAACTCCTTTGGCACGGTTTTGGGCTTTTTGTTTCTAGGCATGGTTGAAGAAATAAAATCGTCTATTTTTGTATAAATTAAAAAAAGGAAAATTATTTTCTTGGCAGCTAAAGTTCATTAGAGTGTATCCACATTTTATGCATAATTATGTTTAATTTCTACCTTAAAAATAAAAAAAAAAAACAATTTGTCTCTACTTTCACTCATCCATCCCAAGATGAATGGCAGCCTGTATATAAAAAAAAAAAATCAACCTATCAAAAATAAATTCACTGAATACTACAAAGGTAATTTAAGACAGTTCATAAATGTCAGACATAACAAACAACCCAAAACCCACAGAACCATTAGGAAAATTGTAAAAATTTACCTCACCAAGTGGAAGGAAATCATTTTTAACCAAACTTCACAATGTAGCCCAGTATGTTACAAAGGTACATACATCACTAGTAAAAAATCAAGCCTAGAAAACAGGCAGCACCACTGGCGAGGCAGAGAGGATCCCAACAGCAGCTGCTGTCTATCCGATGCTGAAGGCCTTCCTATGATCTGATCAACTCTCCCACCCACTGCTGCTTCTCACAGCAGTTTCTGTCCTATAAATCCTCAAAACTCCTGTGGTTCTTCTCAGGATACTCAAGAAAACCCAGGTATGACACATGAATGTATACCTGCAGGATCACATACTTTTTAATAGAATTTGTTAACATATTTTTCTTTCATGCTTCCACATACAGAAATATAACTTAGAATTTTCTGCACATTCCACCCCATCTAGTATCATGAACAGAACTGGCAATCTCTAAGTACCTTGTCATATACCTTTGACAGTAATAGAAAGCTAAAAACTATCTGCTAGACTATTTTTTCTCAAGTTGTAGATATACTTAATGCAAAAGAGATTTCTCTGAACAGAGAAATTACTAAAGTATTTGACTTAAAGGAATATATGGTAGTCTGGGAAGGAAATACATGTGGAATATATATAATATGTGTATTACGGAAATATATAAAGGAATATATGTTGCTGTGATTGGTTTAATAAAGAAGTTAACTGGTCAATAGCTGAACAGGATAAGCTTAGCCTGGGAGAACCAGACTAAGGATGCTGGGAAGAAGAAGAGCAAAGTCAGGAGTCGCCAGTGAGACACACAGAACAGGAAGTGCAAGATGAAAGAGAGGTAAGGCCATGCGACAGAATATAGATTAATATAAATGGGTTAACTTAAGTTGTATAAGTTAGCTTGTAACAAGCCTGAGCTATTGGCTGAGCAGCTATAATTAATAGTAAGTCTCTGTGTTGATTATTTGGGAACCGGCGGGTGGGAAAGAAGTCTGCCTACAAATATAACTTACTTCTAGGATGAGACAATAGCTCAGTGGTAGAGTATTTACACAGCACATGGGAGGCCCTGGGACTGATTGCCAACACGCCACATACAGAGGAAAAAATATCCTACTACAAATAAATTGTAATTTAATGAAATGTTTCTCAAACTTTGATCAAGTTCTAATAACAAAAACAAACATTAAACGGCAAAGCTTTCAGGGTCTAATTTTCCAGATCTAACTCATGAATAATAAATTCTGAGGAAATAAATTTCTCAATCTGTTAAGCAAAAGTAAAAAGCTCTACTTACCATCAGAGTCACCACCAGAGTCCTCAAACTGTGAGTAATTGACTGGTTTTTTATTTCTATGATCAAGACAGAAAGTTTTCATTAATACAAATATTAATTTTTTACCGTCACCTTAAAGTTCTGAATAGTCTTGAAAAGAAAGACAATGTGGTTAGAGTCTCTTAAAAGTACTTCAATTCAAAATATTATTTGTATTTAACACAAGAACTTGGCATTAGCTGAAAAGCCAAAACCATACCTGATACACATGATGTGAAAAAAAATTAATTCAGGAAACCCCCAACATAAGGAGAACACAAATAATTTTCAATTATGTGGGAGCCCATTCTCGGGTTCCTTGTGGCTTTACCCAGCAGGTCCACATAGAGGATGATTAGACCACGGGCCTGAGTGCAGGTGTCTGAGATGGTCTGCACTTGGCTGTGCTGGGGGAGGAGGTCTTTTGCTCCACCCCTTGGCGTCTCTATAAAAACCCTGGGGCAGAGACAGTAGGGGCCGTTGGAATAGGTTCCAGGCCCTCTCGAGGCTATCCTTTATTTTCTATCTGTTTATCTCCGCAATACATCCTTCTATCTAATATTTCCTGCTGCTCGCACTCAAGAAAACTCTGGGGAACTGTGGGGGTGGTTGGGTAAACGCCCCACAGAATGGCGCCATGAACAGGAACTAAAGAAAAAAGAAAAAAGGGGACTAAAGAAAAAAAAGGGGGACTAAAAAAAGGGGGGACTAAAGACAAATGAATAGTGACTAAAGACAAAGTAATAGGGACTAAAGATAAAGGAAAATAATAGTTTTATTACAGAGTTTTTGGCAAAAGTGCTGAGTTCAGCACTGCCAGTGGATAAGGCATGCCGGTGTTATGGAAAATATATATTTTTTAGATATATTATTGAGAGGCAGGGGTTTTATCCTCGAGAGAAAAGGAAAGCGGACTGGAAGGATGTCCATTGCTGCAGCGCAATTCTCTTCTGTCAAAACTTTCTATCTTCTATCCCTTTCTCAATTTCTATTTGTGAAAAATAAGGCATAGGGTAGTAAAATAGTGTAGGAAAAACTTAGAAATGTAAGATTGTGTAGGAAAAAATAAGTAAGGCAACTAGACAGAAAAACTCTGCAATTTTCTAACTTTGGGGCCTATGAATGCAAACTGGGGGGAAAAAAGCTCTTCTTTGAGCTTATGGGAAGAAAAAGTTTCCTATGGAAGCTTTTGACCTGGGGACAGCTGAAATGCTAAGTCCAAGCGGCAGGAGAAAGTGTTTTCTCCTCGAGGCAAATATGGGGGTGTAAAAAGCCAAAGTTTAAAGTTGGGAAGTTTTGGGAAAAGTTGGTCTTTCTCCTGGGGGAAAAAAAATCTTAAACTATAAAGCTTTTCTTGGAAAATTTGGAGGGAAAATCTAAAAAGCCTTAATCTTAAACTAAAAGCTCTCAAACCTAAAAACTAAAGCCTTTAACTTTCTCTCAAAAGGGCAAAAATTAGAATCACCTGAAGATATTAGTATGGGGACCACCTGTGATTAGCTCTAAGGGAAAACAACAAACCTCTAAGACAGCAAAACCTAAGTTCTTTCAAGCTTTAAAAATCCTTCCTGCAATGCAGGAGGCAGGGACAAGTTCCTAAAAACCTCTCTTCTAAGCTCTGTCTCTTCAAGCTAGTAAAAGACAGTGGGTCAGAGTACCCTGAGGGAAACGCTTGGGAGAGTGTGGGTGAAAAGCTACAGAGAGCACAAAAGGGCGGGAAACTTTACCTAAGAAAGGCAAAAAAGCCAAGCTTTTCAGTTACAGCCGAGCTGAGGCATCAAGGGTTTTGTTTGAGCATTTCAAAATGAAAAAAGGTGCTCCTAATTATCCTAATGCAAAGATCCCCTGAGGCAATGCAAACTGTTAGCATTGTATCCTCTCTTCTGACCAAAAACCCAGAGGCCACTGGCCAGGTCTCTGAGTTGGAGTGCATTTCGGGGATCCTAGGGTTCCTGCAGTGGTAAATTTCCTGGAGCACAGAGCTGAGGCAGGAAGGTGCAGGACCCAGGGGAAGATTGCTAATGAACAACCAAAACTAAAGCCAGTGGGAACGGCACAGTTGTCCACTTTCCTACAAGTCCCGGGTTGATAGGTCCACAGCTGCAAAAAGACATCTGAGAAAAAGCTTTCCTATCAGAGAAAGGACCTTTCTAGGAAAACAGTAAAGCTGAACTGTGTCTGAAGCAGTTGTGCTGCTGAGTCAGAACGCTGTCTGGGGAAAGAGCCCAGCCAGGGCAGAACAGAACTATCCAGGAGTAAAGTTTTTTCTGTCAGAGAAAGCACCTCTTTGAGAAAAGCTTTGTTTCAACTGACTCCCTGAGATGAGGGGGAGTGTAGCCCTGAGGAGTGATTGCCTCTGGCATAAGCTCTGTCCTTGAGCACCCAGACAAGCAAACACAACCCACTAGGGGACTGGGCCAGGTGAAGGCCTGATGAGGCAAAACACCTGTCCTCATGGGAGTTTAGAAATGGCAAAAACCTCCCTTGCTAGATTCTTCAGTCTGTACGCAAACCACACAGACCCAGAAAACAAATGGACAAAAAGCCCCTACCTTCAGTAGCAGGGAAAGCGGCCACTGTAGTGTCGGAAACTGTTTCTGGGGTAGCGGGATAAACTGAGACCAAACTGGGAACTCTCTGGGAAAAAGACTTCGAAGAAACAGAAGGGACATATTCCTCCCCAGAAAATGCATGACCTGAAAAAGCTGCTAGAATCTGAGGCAGATTCGGGGGGAGGAAAAAAAAGCCCCTACTTCCAAAGGCAGCTAGCAGAGGTACAGAGCCGCAGACAGATACCTGAAGCTCTGCATCTCGGGGGGGAAAGAACAAGCAAAATGAGAATAAAGTCAGTGGGAGAAAATCTCTGAAAGAGCTATGGAAAAGCCATTGTACATGATCTTGTTTTTCACTGACTGGCTAAGGCAAACACAAGCCCCGAGGAAAGTTGCTATCAGAAATTGCCCACCTCAATTCATGCTAACGAGGCAGGTGCAGTTCTGATTTGGGGCCAGTGTCAATTGAAGGAGAAACACCTGTTAAAGCCAGCTGAGGAGAGAATAGGAATCTCCCAATGTCCCATAATTGAAAATGTAAAATGCTTGTTCAAATCTCCCATTGCAAAAGCAAAAAACTTTGTTCAAACCTCCTGGGCAAGAATTTGTAAGCAAGTCTGGTAAAAGAACCAGTTGACTCTCAGACCCAAAAAGAACTATGGGAAACGACTGATATAAGGGAAATGATAAGGGACTGATATTATTATGGACCGATATAAGGGAAATGCATTCTGGGAAAGGTAGTTTTTCCGCTAAAGATGGCGACATTGCTCTCAAACACTTTTGTCAGCTCGAAAATACATTCATGATAAACTTAAAATACAGCTTTTAAAAGAATAAGGAGGAAAATCATCTAAGAGTTTAAGTGTCAGTTCCAATGAAAAATTGAAAGGATACGAACTAGGTGCTTCACGGTTTGGGGCTCCTTGGTAAAATGCCTTATTTACCCTAATAGCTGTGCAAAGTTTTTATGATAGTTGGATGACAAAAGGCTACCTTTAAGAGCAAACAAGCCACTTTAAAATCCTTAAAAAAACAAAGGAAAGCAGTTTATACACTGAACATTGTCTTAAAAAGTTCTTTGCCTTTTGAACAAACTGCCTGCAATGAGTAATTCCTTTGCAAATCTAATTAAGGGTATAAGAAACAGGCATTCAAAAAGAAATGACTGCTTTATAGATGGGAAACAAACTTCAGAAAATCTAGCTGTCTTACAAAAGAGTTGCTTCACCTGAAAGTTCCTTATAAGAAATCAATGCTAAATATCACAGCTGCTAATAACATCAGGAGTTAAAGCTAATGAGGTGAAAATACTAAATCCTGAAAATGCTTTTTCTCAGAGTAAGCTAATGAAGGATATGTTTCATGAAAGAACATCTATGTTCTTAACTCTTTTGAATAGTAACAGTTTTAGTAAAAATACTGGAACTAACAACAATCCAGTCAAAATGTTTCAACAAATCCAAGACGCTATTCCACAAAAGAAAGCTGCCATGCTTTGTGGGCCATATTAGAGCTCACTCCAATCTTCCTGGTCCTTTAGCTGAGGGTAATGGGAAATGGAAAGATCCCTGCTCAGGATTATGGAAGGGTCCCAATCCTGTGTTAATATGGGGTCGAGGACATGTTTGTGTTTTTTCACAAGAGGAGGATGAAGCTCGGTGGTTACCGGAGCGTCTGGTAAGGAGCGTGGAACTAAGGAAGGGTCTGCTCCAATGATGTTCCTATAAAGGAACCAGAATGAAAGTGGCTCGATTAGTGTTTCTGAGGTTTTGTCACTGGTTAATGCAAACAGTGAGGAAACAGAGTTCGGAGCTGTGCCACTTTTGGCTTTACTAGCTTCTTTAGAAAAATACTTTATATCACCTAATAGTTGTGCAGTATTTGTCGAAGAGCTTTACAGCAGCTAAATACGGTAATTTCACTCAGCGTGAAGTTTTTCTGTAGAGCAAATCAAGAGTACTGCTGTAATAGAAATGTTTGTCTGAATTGAAGCACTTAGGGGAGCTATTATGAATTTGGGCGAAGGGACAGCCTCTAGTTAAAAACTCTACCGCTGACAGTGCATTTCTGCTGGTCCAGAATGGCTGAGAGAACTGGCAACTTTGGAGTGTGGCGTCATCCTGGGAAGGTTACAGTCCCCTAGCAACAACTATCACAATTCTATAACAACACTCATTAAATCCCAGTGCTTTATAACAAAGCTGACTATAAACTCTAAACTTTAGAAATGATGTATGTACTTCCTGTCTAGTTAAGAGAATCTTTCTAATAGAGATAGTGATAATAATTAAGAGTAAGAAATAGAAAAAGATGAAAATAAGATATGTGAGTTTGTAAAAATTCTCTTGTTAGATCTCTTTGTTAAGAAATCTTTAGGTGTTTGCGAAGTTAAACGTATGCTAATAGTAGCCCTATATAAGTTTGTAAAATAGATCTATAGAGTTCCTTTAAGAATATATATAAGCTTGCAAGAAGTATCTAATGTAGTCTTAAGACATATAGTAATAAGCTTGTAAGAAGTAAAGATGCTAGTTGTAAATGTAAGTTTAAATAAGAATAAGATGGAATGAATAGTAATAAGAAATATATTTGCTAAAGTAGTTCTAGTTTCCTTAAGGAGTATAAATAAGTAGATATTAATATGTTCTATGAGTTTGTAAAAACGTGTAAATGTTGAATGTGAGTCTAAATGCTTTGCAAGGAAAAAGGTTATATGTGAGTTTGTAAAAAAGTGTATATGTTAAGTGTGAATCTATGCTTAATGTATATGGTGAAAAAACCTGAGATACAGAAGTTAGTGTCCTAGAAGACTGCAAAGCAGGTAGTCTGAGCGGTTTGCAAAAGTTCCAGAAGCCGCTAAGAAGCTAAGAATGGCAGACGCCAGAACCAGCACAAGGCATCCGCAGCTGAGATCGTGGAAAATCAACGCAACACAGAAAAACCTGAGCTAACATCAAAAATGGTGCGGTTTAGAATACTACTGTACCTAAAAAGGTCTCTGGCTTGAGAATAAGTTCAGAGACGCTTGTTTGAACAAAAATTGTTAACAGCAAAAAGTTTTGGTTGAAAAACGTCTCTTCATATTTGGAAGTGAAAGCCTGATACTAGAATTTATTTCTTGTTTGAACTTTTTGAACTTAAAATGAGATAAAATTACAAAAAGATTTTGGTTATGGATTTCTCATATTTGGAAGGCTAGTACCAGAATTTATTGTTTGAATTTTAAGACTTAAGAAATGAAATGAATAGAGATTTCATTGATATGGGACAATTTTGAGTTTACTTATAGTAATGACCTAGGAACTGTTTTCTGGAATTGGGTTAAAAATGGAACTGTTTAAATGAAGAAATCTATTATTTCTACCTAGAATCAAGATGAAGTTTTGTGTATGCATATATGCTTTATTAATTGGTGATTCATGAATTGTTTTGTGGAACTGTTTATGTAAAAATGAAATTACTTACAGAACTGGTTTTGTGTTACAAATGGAACTGTTTAAATGGAGAAGTTTGGGTTTTCTAACTAGGCTTGAGATTTTGCTTAAATTATAAAGAAAAGGGGGAGAGTTAATATTCCTTAGTCTAATTTCAAAAGTTGTTTGAGTGGATTAATGTCATGTTTTTGTTAGTAAGAAATGCAAATGGGGTATATTAAGAGACTACTTTTAAAGTGTAACGAGTTTTATTAAGAAACTGCTTTTGGATGTTTTGCTAAGTTTTCAAAGTGTTAATGGTTAGATTGAGAAAATTGCTTTTCAATATGGGTTTGTAGGAATTGTATGAGTTTGGGTTCTTCTAACTAGGTTTGAGATTTTGTTTAAAAAATTATAAAGAAAAGGAGGAGTTATGAGGTTGAATTACGTTTGCAGAAATTATGTTTACCCTATTGATATTGATGCACCCTGGTTTTGTGGAGTTAAGGAAATATTTGTTTGTGAATACATCAAAGTTTTTCCTATGTTCTGTTAGCAAGAAAATTCAGATTGAGTTAAAGTTGTAAGACGGAGAAAATTGTTAACTATATATAGCACCATATATGCTAATTCAAATGGTTCTGTTAAGAGTTTGCTTTGAGTTATAAGATTGAGAGAATTGTGACTATGTATAGCAATATTTATGTTAACCTGTTAATGGTAATGATGAAGCTAAGGGATTCTTTAAGTTTGTAGTCACCTTAAGAGTTTTTGGTTTAGAAAGGGCTTGAGGCAGCTAAGACTGCTGTAGTCACCTTGGACCTAATTCAAAAGAGAAATGCCTTCTTTATCATCCTCTACTCCCATATTGGGAGGTGTAACAGCTATGGAGATTGCTGTAAGCCATTAATAGTTATTTTTTTATATATTAAGAAAGGGGGACCTGTGGGAGCCCGTTCTCGGGTTCCTCGTGGCTTTACCCAGCAGGTCCACATAGAGGATGATTAGACCACGGGCCTGAGTGCAGGTGTCTGAGATGGTCTGCACTTGGCTGTGCTGGGGGAGGAGGTCTTTTGCTCCACCCCTTGGCGTCTCTATAAAAACCCTGGGGCAGAGACAGTAGGGGCCGTTGGAATAGGTTCCAGGCCCTCTCGAGGCTATCCTTTATTTTCTATCTGTTTATCTCCGCAATAAATCCTTCCATCTAATATTTCCTGCTGCTCACACTCAAGAAAACTCTGGGGAACTGTGGGGGTGGTTGGATAAACGCCCCACACAATTAGAACTTATATTCTGTTGAGTGGCTACTGCACATTCATAAATTCCTCTGTGCTCATTTTTTGCTTATTATAATTATAATTTATATAATTATAAATCATCTCTCCAGTTTTACCCATATTTTAAAAAATCCCCCAGAGGTAGAGTCATAGTGGTTAAGGGTATATACTGCTTCCTCAGAGGATCTGAATCTGATTCCCAGCACCCACGCCAGGCAGCCCACAACCACCTGGAACTCCAGCTCTAGGGGTAAAACCCCTCTGGCTTCCTCAGGCATTTGCAGTCACATACACATACCCCCCTCCACACATACCCCTAAAAGTAAAATAAATATTTAAAAGAAATCTCTCTACAATACAAAACAATGTTTTTTAATGGGATGGTCACTTTACAATAGCTTGTCCCTATCATCTTTGTGGCAATTAAAGTAGGCGGAGGAAAAGGATACTCAATGTGAAAAGGTTATTTCCTCCTCCAGGAAAGAAATGTAAAGTTGTCCAGTTCCCCTTCTGATGTCTACTGAATGCCCTGTGCAGACAAGCGTGTTTATCAGTTGCCTGCTCTTTCAGGCAAAACTGGAGTTCTGTGAAAGAGGCTTGTGCAGCTCCTACTTCAAACTCGCAGGCATCTCCTTTAGAGAACCACTGTGTGTACTTCCCATGGCCGCACACTCAGGGAAGGGAGGGTGTTCACCTCATTCTCTCACTCTCCAGAGTTGAAGAGTTTGACAGCTGCATGAAATATGCCAGCATCTTTAAAAACTCTGGGACAGAAAATTAGTAAATCAAACCAAAAGCCTCTGAAAGAGTTAAGTGCACTCAGGTTGAGTTATAACATATACATCAATTCTTATTAATTCATGAAACACAAACTACCTATTGTATTCTGGAAACTCGGTAGGGTGAGAGCTATGCAGAAAACTATTACTTTTAAAAATGATTTTTAAATTATGTGTGTATTTGTGTGCCTGTGTGCATGTATATTCATATGAGTACAATGTCTGTGAAGGCCAGAAGAGGGCACTGGATCCCCTGGAGCTGGGAGAGCTGTGAACTGTCTGAAGTGGGTGCTGGGAACTGAATCCGAGTCCTCAGTAAGTTTAGTTTTGTTTGGTAGTGCATTACTGGGGATCGAACCTGGAGCCTCTCACGTCCTAGGCAATCACTCCACCACTGGGCCAGAGCCTCAGCTATACTCAGTACGTCTACGAAAACGGACGGATGGCCTAGCATCCCGGCTGTGATCACGGAGAGCAGACTCCAACTGTTCCATGGGCAGCCGAGAGGAACTGGCGGCACGCGACTGGTCACTACTAACTTGGGCGCGGGACGGTTCCCTTACGTGGGCCTTTCTGCCTAGGGGCTCGAGGGCCATAAAAAAGGCCCGTCCGCTGTTTCTGCCCCGCGGGGCTGCAGTGCTGAACACAGGGAGGCCACATCCGGGGGCGCTCGCTGCGACGGGAGGCCCGGGGGCGGAAGGCAGGCAGGCAGGCAGGCAGGGCGCCAGGCCGGCCACCCGGAGCCGCGGCTGGCTCTCACCCGAGACCGGCGACGATCATCCCCGCGCGACCCGCCGCCCCCGGTCAGACCCGGGCCCCTAGGGCCCTCACGGGGAGGACACCGGCCTCCAGCGTCCCCCCGCGCTTCCTCCCCGCCCCGCGGGGCGTCACCAACCACGCACCTGGCAGGGCGCACCATGGTGCCCTTCCTCAGTGGAGAGCGGCAGAGTCCTGGAGCTGGAGAGCGGCGGCCGTGGCGGTTTCACTTCCCGCCCAAACTCAGACATCGCGCTCCTCCCCGCGGAGCCCCAGCCCGCCAATCACCGCTCGCCCGCCTCAGGCGGCGCCTGCGTGTTAAGAAGAGCGCGCCTGCGCTCACACACCTTCGCCCTGTGCACGCCTTTCCGGATCCTGTCGGCCACGGACCCTGTGTTTGTTTTGTTAACGGCACTTTCGTCACCACAGCGGTGTGGTTCCGACTCTAAAATAGAGTATAAAAATAGTAACACGCCTTCAACTTTTATAACGACTAACTTAAAGAGGAATGGAGCAAAAGTATTTTGGATCGGAGTTTTCCCTGCGGCTGGAGGAGAGGGGAACAGAGGATAGCGAATCTGCAGAAGAGAATCTGTTGGCTGTAAAAACAAGCAAGAAGTCAGCTGATTTATTGGGCGGCTCGGCGTTGACAGCTCCAAGTGGTGCTTTGGCTTCCGAGGAAAGAGGTGAGCCCATGCCAACCGCGAGGAAACCCCTTCGCTGCGGAGGTCTCAGTGAGGGTACCTATTAAAGGCGTAAGGAACTCGAGCAGGCTTCCTGGCGACTATCCAAAGCGCGGGAGTGCAGCTTGGCATTGACAGTTCAGTAATGTGGAAAACTTAAGTTTGTAGGTTGCATGTTGGTGTGACAGAGATTTAAACTGGGTTAAGATGAATTTATCCTGAGAGCAGTGGACTCTCATAAGCAAATACAGCATGAAGATGTATTTTTATTGGTTTTGTTCTGTTACATGTATATAATGTATTCTGATTACGCTTTCCCTCACCTTCCCATATCCCCCTCCCATCCCTGCTAACTTCCTCATCCCTTTTAAACCCCCACTTCCCTACCAGTCCGCTTTCCAGATTCATGGAATGTTTGGTTTGGTTTTGTGGCCCGTTTAACTTAGCCAGACCTGATGAATGAGCATTGGATTGCATCTACTCGTTGGAGTCTGGTGGGGGCACTAATGGACACACAACTGAAGACAGGGACTCCCCTTTCCCTGAATCTGTCCTTAAAAAACCACACCCTTAGTAAGGCATTGGTCCCTCTGAGTCCCCACTTAGCTGCTGATGGGCATGGGTCCCCCGGAGTCCCCCCCTTAGCTGCTGATGGGCATGGGTCCCCCTGAGTCCCCCCTTAGCTGCTGATGGGCATGGGTCCCCCTGAGTCCCCCCTTAGCTGCTGATGAGCATGGGTCCCCCTGAGTCCCCCCTTAGCTGCTGATGAGCATGGGTCCCCCTGAGTTCCCCCTTAGCTGCTGATGAGCATGGGTCCCCCTGAGTCCCCCCTTAGCTGCTGATGAGCATGGGTCCCCCTGAGTCCCCCTCAGTCCCCCCCCCCCCTTAGCTGCTGATGGGCATGGGTCCCCCTGAGTCCCCCCTTAGCTGCTGATGAGCATGGGTCCCTGTGAGTCCCCCCCCCTTAGCTGCTGATGGGCATGGGTCCCTCTGAGTCCCCCCTTAGCTGCTGATGGGCATGGGTCCCCCTGAGTCCCCCCTTAGCTGCTGATGGGTATGGGTCCCTCTGAGTCCCCACTTAGCTGCTGATGGGCATGGGTCCCCCTGAGTCCCCCCTTAGCTGATGATGAGCATCGGTCCCTGTGAGTCCCCCCTTAGCTGCTGATGGGCATGGGTCCCCCTGAGTCTCCCCCTTAGCTGCTGACGAGCATGGGTCCCTATGAGTCCCCTCCTTAGCTGCTGATGGGCATGGATCCCTGTGAGTCCCCCCTTAGCTGCTGATGGGCATGGGTCCCTCTGAGTCCCCCCACCCTCCTTAGCTGCTGATGGGCCTATTCTTCTGCAAACCCAGCAGGCATCTGAGGCTGCCAAGGGCCTATAACTGCAATGGCAGTGTCTTGCCTAGGAAACGCCATTTTGTTGTCCTTCACTCTGTCTTCTGGGTCCTGTATGTTTCTACCCCCTCTGCTGCAGCGGTCCTTGAGCCTTCAAAACGGGTGCTATAAATGTGTTTGGGGCTGACTCGTCACTTATTCTCAGCACCTGTGTCCCCATGAGTCCGTGCATTCACTACTGTTCACTGGAAAGACACTTACCTGATTAAGGCTGAGAGTAGCACTGTCTCTGGGTCCCTCTGAGTCCCAGTATCAATATTTAGAAGGTGGGTTGACACTGTCAGTTTAACTGAACAATGATCTTTAGGTTCATCCTAGGACCAATGATCTTACCTGCTGTGGGTTTTTGACCAGGATTACAGTACCAGGCATGGACTTGCTCCTATGGAGCTGAACTCAAATCCAGTCAGAGCAAACTGGATACTCTCACAACAGTGAGAATGAACAGGTGGGCGCATCTTGTCTGGCAGGTTAATATAGTTCACAACTGGGTAAGACCATTCATAATGTTTCTCCCACAGCAGCCTGCATAGTACCTTCCAGGACTGTAAAAGCTAGCCAGCAGAGAGGAAACTTCGAGCTCAGTTCCAGCTTGAGTCTCTGTATCTTCAACTGAGCTGTGCAGTGTCTTTAGCAATAGAGTTTATCATCTAGTTTTTGTGGGCAACCAAGAATAATGACATGAATCTGTATTGTATTTTGGGGGGCTTCAGGTATGTGTGTATGTGTATATATACATATATATGTATATATATGCTTTTTTTTAAAGAGACAGATTATATGATTTAGGTAGAGAACAGCGTAAGGACTGGTTTGGTGGGGAAATCCTAGCAATGGGAAGTCCAGTTGGGAGGCTGATGAGTAGATTTTTAAGGGATGTTTATTCCTACTCTCTTTACTACACTTTCTTTTCTCTGAGTAGTGTCCAGTGTGCCTTGTGGGTGGCATCCTGTATGGTGTGTTCTCCTGTATATGTGCTTCCTACTTGGAGGCCTTTATTGTATTCTCTCACCCTTTCCTATCACATTTCACAACCACCATATCTAACATCTTCAAGATACCACCGGGTCTTCGTTGGTTTGGCTGCCTTTACCAGTCCCATAAGCTCCACACCTGCATCCCCCCTGTATCTTTCCTAAGGATCCTCTTACCCCTATCTCTGTTTCTTCCCTTGTGTTAAGTATTTTTTTATTCTTGCCTAGGAATAAAAGTACTTTCTGAGCATATTGTTGGCCTGAAATTAACTTTTGGGCTGATTGTGATGGTGTACACCTATAATCCCAGCACTTGGGGGTCAGGGGGCATTGAAGCAGAAAGATTAAATGTTTGAAGCTATTCTGGGCTGCACAGTGAGAACATGTCCAAAATGAAATGGAAGTAAAATAGAAATTGGAATAGTTGGTTCAGAATCGCATGGGTCCGGTCTCTGAGCTGCTGGGCTGTGTTTTAGAGGTGTTGCAGCAGTAACGAAACATGTTTCCTGTGGACGCTTGACTCATGGCTTTTGCTGTTGTTCATTCTACAGAAATCCTGCCGAAGAATATGAAGAAAAACCGAGAAAGATTCTGCAACAAGGAAAGAGAATTCGTGTACAAATTCAAGGTAGGAAATGAGCGCTTCGAACTGAGAGTGCCCCTGAGGTTTCCTGTGGACGGGAATGCCAGCCATTTGCATGGACGTCTGATGCTGCTGCACAATTTGCCCTGCTTCATAGAGAGTGGTGAGGACTGATTTTGTGTTCCTATAGTCTCTGTCATTGAAGTTTCTTGGCAGCACACAGATTCTGAACTTGGGACCTGACGTGTGAGACTGCACAACTGAATGTTAGACTCCTGAAAAAGTGACCAAAAATGAATTCAAAATCGGATGTATAGTGGGTTCATGGTGTACACAGCATGTACACTTGTATTGCTGATGCCACCATGTTGTGCTCCTCTAGTGAGTGCTGCCCAAAGCCTCCTGGCTCAGATTCCAGACTGCTCTTAGGCACTGCGGTGCTTTTACAGTTTTCTGTTCTTGTAGAAATAATGGTTTAATTGTGGAAAACAAAGAGTTTAGTATTTTCCTCTCCTCACTCCTCAACATTGAAGTTTTTAAAATCACTATGTCTTTAGGTTGTATTGTGTTAGGATGTTTGAGTTTTAAAACAGTTTTTATTACATTTATTTATGGTGTGCCACAGAGCCTGCGTGAAGCTAGAGAACAGCTTACACAGAGTTGGTTCTTTCCTTCCACCATGTGGATCCTGAGATCTAACCCAGGTTGTTGGAAGCAAGCATCTTTATCTAATGAGCCATCTCTTTGGCTCCTGAATTTTTGATTTTTTTTTTTTTTTGTTTTTTTTTTTTTTCGAGACAGGGTTTCTCTGTGTAGCTTTGCGCCTTTTCCTGGAACTCACTTGGTAGCCCAGGCTGGCCTCGAACTCACAGAGATCCGCCTGGCTCTGCCTCCCGAGTGCTGGGATTAAAGGCGTGCGCCACCACCGCCCGGCGAATTTTTGATTTTTAAAAGTTGCTGCTTTAGTTGCTGACTTTAGTTTTGTAAAAATTTGTTTAATAAATTTTGACATGAAATTAAGACAGAATTGCAAACAATTTCTGAAATGCCCTTAAACATATGTTTTGCCATTTTATACTACATATTTATGAAAAATGTCATTCTTGTCATTGACAATTATAAAATCAAAATGAAAAATATTAAAGATGCTCTACATCCTACAGTTTAACTCTTCAGCCAAGATTTAATTATTTGTGTAAAAATGAACAAGCACATCCATTCCATTAGTATACATCTTTTAGTCTTTGTGTGAATGTGTGTGGGGTATATATGTGTTGGGGTGTATGTGTGTGGGGTGTATGTGTATGAGATATGTGGGGGGGAAATGTGTGTGTATATGGGTATGGGATATGTGTGTGTATGGGTGTATGTGTGTGAGGTGGGTGTGGATATATGTGTGTGTGTGTTGGAGTGGGTGCAGGAGAACAGAAGTTGATATCAGATCTTCCTCTATTGTTGTCCACCTTTTGATTTTTTGGGGAAGAGTCTTTCATTGGCCCTAGAGCTCATCAGTTCAGCAAGATTTGCTGGTTAGTGAGTTCCAGGGATCCAATACTCCAGCCTCTGCCTCCCCAGTGCAGGAATTATAGGCACACACTGCTATACCCAGCATTTTACATAGGTCCTGGAGATTGAAATCATATTTACATGGCAAGCACTGTACTCACTGAGCCATT